CTATCTATCTATCTATCTATCTATCTATCTATCTATCTATCTATCTACCTACCTACCTATCTCCATCCATTCTCTCTCTCTCTCTTTCTCTCTCTCTCATCTCCATCCATTATCTCTCTCTTTCTTTATCTCTCTCTCTCGTCCATCTTCCAGCTTTCCTTCAGTTGGTCGAAAGTCGAGGACTACCTGAACAGTGCTTCCACATGAGCCCGTCTAAAGCTATTTCATCTATGAAAATTCATTGCTTTCTACATGAACCAGAAGGCCTGTTTGGCCCAGCAAAACCTGCCTTTAAGAGGAGACGTTGCTTTCGTTCTGCTCTGGAGGCTGAGTTCTTCACTGAAGGACATTTCATCCTCTCTCACCTATTATAGGATAATGAATGCAAATTGCAGCCAAAACATCTTGCACAATTAAAGATTAAGCAGATACTTTGCTTTTGTGGGCTGGGGGTGGGGAGGACAGCCAGCCCGCTGGACCATAATTACAGACAAAGGGAAAACACCTTGTTATCAAACACAGAGAAACTGGTTCCTCCTTTCCATCAAAATGTAAAACGCCTTGTGCATTTTCTACACACAACATTTCCAATCGAACAATGGAAGGTGACTGATTGGACAGGCATAAAAAATAGATAAGTACATGCATTAATGTTCTGGCTGGCAACACACACCTGTGGGCGCCTGGGCACGCAACCCCAGATGCTATCTACGGCACACTAGAACAGATACTTATAATTTTGTGCTGAGTGGCTAAAAAGTTGATTTAACTGTTGCATTCTTGTGTAGGTAACTGATTATATCCCCGGCATCAACTAAAATAAAATAAAATTCTACACTACATAATGATCTCCTTGTACTTTCCCTTCTCCTTTTTCTCCTCCTCCCCTTCCCCTTCTCCTTCCTTCCTTCCTTCCTTCCTTCCTTCCTTCCTTCCTTCCTTCCTTCCTTCCTTCCTTCCTTCCTTCCTTTCCTCCTCCTCCTCCTCCTCCTCCTCCTCCTCCTCCTCCTCCTCCTCCTCCTCCAGGTGTCCACCAGTCCTGCAGTGGATAGTGGAGCGTAGGAGCTCAGGGCAAACTTGCCATTTTCAGAGGTTCTTACTTCCTTCGACAACAGACCTTCCCCTGACGGTCAAATAATTTGCTTTTTCCTCCTGCCTCTCCCCAGGCTCAATTCAACAACACCGAATCCCAGATCACCCTTGTGGAGGCCATTCTCCCCTTACAGACCCAGAAGATTCTCAGGCAGGTGAGCTGTCTGAAGAAAACAGGTAAACTCGAAGGGTTATTCAAGGAGTAACAGCCCCATCATCAGATCCCTTCAATCGTTCTCGAAATAGGCTGCCAGAACCTTTCTCAACCTGATGTCCTCCAGATATGCTAGGAGACCAACTCCAGGCACTTCTGGAGAGCAGGAACGTGAAGGTATCTGGTTTAGAGAATAGACAAACACACACATGGAAAGAGCCGGCCCATGCGTCTGTAATTGCATCTGTTCATTGACCTGGATTCTGCAAGATGCTGGATGCACCAAGAGACGCATATTAATAATACAAGAGAGGAAAATCCTATTTATGAACAATTCTGGGCTGCCCAGAGGCCCACCGTGACAAACAGAATTATGGCTGAGCTAGGCCTTCTTTCTGATCCAGCGTTAGGGTTCCTCTGCTGCCCTTCACCCCTCCCCACAAAGCTCACCCTCTGAAACAAGAAATTCAAGGAAGGTGGGGCTGGGAAGAGTAAGGCAGAGCGGAGACGCAAAGGGGAGGAAGAAAGAGGGGAGGCTGGCAGGAAGGAGCGGCCTTTGTGAACACCCTGGGAAAGCGGCAGGTCACAACGTCTGCAGGGGTTCTCAATCGTTCAGGTCATGGTGGTCCCAAGCTTCTCGGATGAGAAGCAAAACTCCTTCAAAGGGGACAAAAGAAGAAAAAAACAAGACAGTCCAGTTGACTCTTGAAAAAGCACCTTTGGCCGGTCAAGAGAATTGCATTTCTTTTACCACGTCAATCTAGAAAGGGAAATGGCAAAGAATCGTAGACTCCAAGGGCTGGAAGGGACCTCTTCTAACCCAAAGCACCAGCATGCAGATTCTATCTGCAGAAAAAACAACAACATTTGCATATAATTTGTTGGTGGAAATTGTCCTCGGTTTAGATGACATTTTATCAAGAGCGGGGAGAATTCGCAGGAGACGACGGGCTTCTCTTTTACAAAATCTGCTTTTAACTCGGTTTTCCTTTTCCTCCAGGAGTTGGACTGCTTTGCAAGGAAAGAATTGGGATATATCTCCCAGTACCTGAACTGGATGAGGACCACGGTGAGAATTGGCTTCCCTTACAGTCCTCAGATCCCCCTGTGTCAGCGATGTGCAAATCACTGACAATCGCACACACACACACACACACACACAAAATATCCTTTTGTTTGTTCTGTTCCAGCTGGCTGAGGATGTGGCTTCCTGCCAGCCCTTTTCCACTGCTCTGGACAATGGCCGGGTAATCTTGTGCAATCGCATCCTGGATCCTTGGGTAAATCTTTCTGCTGCCTAACTAAAGCCTTCGACCTTTCCTGGCCCACAGCTTGCCTACCATCTAGCGACCATTCGAAGTTACAATGGCCGCTGGGAAAAAAGTGACCATTTTTCACATGACTGTCGCAGAAACCCCCAGCAGTCACGTCATCGAAATTTTGGATGCTTGGCAACCGACTCGTATTTACGATGGTCGCAGGGTCCTGGGGTCACGTGTTCCCCTTTTGTGACCTTTTTACGAGCAAATTCAGTGGGGAAACCAGATTAACAACCGTGGCATAACTTAGCAGCTGCAGCCATTCACTGAACAACTATGGCAACCAGGGGTTGTAAAATAGAGCAAAACTCACTTAACAACCGTCTCGCTCAGCAACCAAGACTTTGGGCTCTGTTGTGTTGGTAAGCTGAGGATGACCAGTATATTCCTAGCCTGGTTTTTAAGAAATATGTTTTTATTAAATTAAACACTTCTTTAGCAATTCTGAGGAGTAAACAGTATAGAAGGAGGAGGAGAACCACTTAAGTTTGAGAAAGTCAAACTCTGAAGCAATCCAACAGTGTTTTTCCAGCTTTGCACCTTTTATCAAATGGCTTCAGCTGAGAGGTGGCATTCAGCCGGTTTGGACTGGTTCTGCAGAACCGGTCGTGGAAATCTTGAGTAGTTTGGAGAACCGGCCAAAACCACCTCCGATTGGCCCCACCAACCCCATCTATTCTCCGCCTCCCATTGAGTCCCAGCTGATCGGCTGGGTCTCCTTTGGTTGCCCTGCCCAGGAGAACGGAGCTGGAAAGCAGGTTAGTGGGGTGGGGAGGGAAGGAGGATTTTGCAGTATATCCTTCCCCTGCCATGCCCACCAAGCCACGCCCACAAATCCAAGCCACGCCCACAGAACTGGTAGTAAAAAAAATTTTTTTAACCCCACCACTGCTTCAGCTAAATCCGTGCCCTTCTTCCGACGAGTGGACTTTAGCTCATAAAAGCTGGTGCATTTTTAATGAACTTCGCTGGCGCGCAAAGGTGCAACCAGACTTCACTACAGGTAGATCCAGAAGATGATGCCGTTCTCAAAACACTTCGGCGAGTTCCGATTGGCTGAAGACCGTCTCGTCACGAAGGGGAGGGCTGGGAGAAACCTTTCCGTACCTTTGGACCGTGGGAAACCCAGAACTGGCCTGACTTGACTCCAGCCAGCATCCTTCCAGTAAAAGAACCTTTCGCTGCAACCAAATGGACACAGATTATACACCAGAGTTAGGGGATTTTTCCTTGGGGCCAGGAAAAAGACCCACCCGTATACTTTTCCTTTGGTGATGTGTGCCTTTCCTTTCCCGCAGAATGCCTTTTGGTTCAGCCTGGGTGGATGCGCCTTCTTCCTCCTTCCTGGTATCTTTCTTGCCCTCAAGATGATGAAGCATTTTCGTCCAATTCGGCACAAATTAGTGTAAGTAGCATCGCTGCAAAAAATGAGGCGGGTGTGTGTGTGTGCAGACGGTTCTTTGCATGACTGCTGTTGCTGTTGGGATGGTCTGTCTCACCGTCTAGACTGGATTGGTCATGTTTTCTTCCCCTGTCGAGTCCTTCGCAAGGACCCGGGATAGACGGACATGAGTGTTCGATTGGGGTTAAAGACGCGGCATTGTTGCAGGATGCGAGCTGTTCTGTAAAGCTGCCTTTCGCAATTGACTCACGGTGAATTTGTCAATGCCGAAGAAGCTTCAGTTGTTTTGGGTTTGCACCCAAGGCGCCTCTTATTATTGGCACTAACACTTTCCTTTACCACAGTTGTTCTAATTCTATTTACAGGTCTTTGCATTTCTTGATTTCTCTTCGGTTCTTTCTCTTCCATTCTGTTGTCTCCAGGTACTGCCACCTCTATTATTTTTGGGTCTCTCTTATCAACAATTGTTAAATCTCGGAGTTTTATGTGGCAGGTGCCTGGCTGTTGGAATTCTAAACGCCCAGGGCAGCACTTGAGCTTCATTTTCTACTATTTTGTCTATTTGATGGTCCGACCATTTCTTACTTGCAGGCTATTTTTTATAGCATGGACCCTTTTTCTAGATTCTCCTAGCTCAGCATGAACTTATCAGGGAAGAACATACAACAGGGATAAAAAAACACAAAAGCTGCAGCAATAAAAGATGTATAGATATATTTTTTTTAAAAAAAAATCAAGCCTCGCTCGAGCCTACATACGGTTATCTGAATAGCTCAGCAGGGCATCATCGACTGCCGAAACGCTTTAAATTTCTCTCTTGCAAAATTTCACCCGCTCAAAAAAGACTGGGAACACTCCAGGACCTTTCTCTGCCGTCTTTGGAGAGGGGCCACCAAACCGAGCCTCCCGCAGAGGTAGGAGCCCCCTTGCTAAGTGTCTATGGAGATTCTCCATCATCCAGGTCATGGTTGTCCCAGAGGTTCTTCTTTTCAAGAGGCTCCAGAAAACTTCCAGAAAGTCCTGTTGCCTCTTG